TTACCCTCAGTGTATTTAGTCCCTCCTGTGTCCTTTGTTCCTCGTCGAATTTAGTCGTCATTGTCAGATTGTTGCTGCCGTTGCATGTTTCCGCCCGTAAGACCAGTTGCTATCGGTGTTAAGCCCTGTCTTCTGCTCAGCCGTGCTGCCTGGTCGTGGACTTCGTTCGTTGACTGTTTTTTTGTGGACTTTATTTTCATTAAACTACATTATATACTTTACCTGGGCCTCCAGCGTCTGCCTCACCGCTTCACCTCACAAATCCATGACAAAATCTTTTCTTTCCAGGCAGCATTTTGAAACAGTGATCCACGCTTTTATTTTGACTCGACTGGATTATTGTAACTCTCTATATCTGGGAGTCAGTCAGTCACTGCTGATGTCTCACGTCTGCAACTGGTTCAGAATGCGGCTGCACGACTTTTGACAGGAACTGGAAAGAGAGAGCATGTTACCCCTGACTTGGCTTCACTTCACTGGCTGCCTGTTTATTTTAGGATCCGTTTTAAAATTCTTATGTTAATTTTTTGTTTTGATTTTTATTTTCAAACCAATATTTACAGTAGATAATATTACTACATTCATTATTCATACAATGGGGAAAAAACAAAACAAAAAAATCCAAAAACAAAACAACAACAAACAAAAAAACCTAACCTGCCACCCCCATCTCAGCTCAAAGTCAACCTGATAGAAAAGAAAATAAACAAACAAATGCAACATTAATCCAATAAGACCACCCATATTAGTGACCAAAACAAAATTCAGCAACAGGCACATTCAGTCGGGCAAAACCTTCAAGTTGGAAACATAGGAAAGAAAACATTGTCATTTTTGATAGAACTTCTGTGTGGTTGAGTTACGGCGTCAGTTGACCTGGTGTGCCAATAGACGGCCAGCCTTGTCGCCATGCTCATAATATGAACCTTTACTGCGTAACAGTAGACGTTCAGCTTCCTTGGTGGATATTAAATCGATTTCTGTTTGAACACCCATACGCTCTTTAAATAATTCTGGTGAAGGATCCATGGCATATCTTTGATCTAGTTGAGCAATGGACGTAGCCAATTCAGTAAGCCTTGAGTTATGTCTTTTGTTAGACAAAGGCATGTATGAAATTATTTGTCCTCTGAGGTAAGACTTAAGTGTTTCCCATAACAGTGAATATGAAGTGGAATTGTTCTTGCTTTGTACATGTGACAGTGCAATGACAATAAGGTTGAATTCTATTCTATTTTATTTTATTCTTGTTAAACACCAGAAACTCGTCAATTGCATTAGAAATAAAGTTGCAAAATTCTGCATCTGCCAGTAAGAGAGGATTAAACCGCCACATAGGTGGGCTACGTTTGTAAGATGCCATCTGGATATCTAATAATAGTGGAGCATCTTTATACTCAAATAATCAGAGAGAACTACACATGAATTGAGTGCCTGGTCAATAAAAAAAAAATCAATTCTGGAATAAGAGTGATGACCCTTAGAAAAGAAAGAAAATTTTTACCTGGTAGGGTTTCGACATCTCCATGGGTCAATAAGACCACTCTGCCTTGTGAAATCAGAGAATGCTTGGGGCATTGAAGATTCAAGCTCTGGATGTATGACACAATTCAAGTCACCCCCTAAAATTAGCAAATGAGAATCCAAAAACGGGAGGCTGCTCAATAACCCATTTAGAAACTCAGCATCATTGATGTTTGGAGCATATATATTTACCAGAAGAATCTTTTTCTGCATTAATATTCCAGCAACTATCACATATCTACCACATTTATCAGCTATAACCTCAGTGGGTGAGAATTGTACCGTTTTACTCATCAAAATGGCTGCTCCTCTTGATTTGGAATTAAACTCAGAATGAAAAACCTGATTCATCCAAGAGCAACGTAACCTAATATGATCCTTGATGCGCAGATGAATCTCTTGTAGACTTTTGATCTTTTAACAGGATGACCCATGCTCTTGATATTCCAGCTAATGAAACGTAGAGAAGTGCCTGGTCCTGCAATACCAGGGTCTAGAGTGGCGTTAACCATTAAGTAAAATAAAAACAAAAACAACCATAGAGAGCTGAGATGGTCCACCCAAAACATATGCCCAAAAATAAACCCATAACCAAACAACACCCAAAGTCTCCATAAAAAACAGAACAATGGAGACAGCAGTGCTAAACATGGCAAACATTCACAGTGAATTGTGAACACGGAGATACAGCAGAGCAAGAAAGCTTGGAAGTGAGCTTAACAAAAACAGGCTAATAGCCCCCACCAACCTCCAACTTATAACACCAGTATGTGCATTATTATACTACTTTAAGATTATTTTCATTATATTGCAACCAGGTTGGAAACCGCATACTCCCTATATAATGTAGAGAAGATGCTACCTAACAGTGAATATCACTGTAGGTGCTCACGAACATCAATGTCTAAACTGAACAAGATATAACCAAAACTTTAATTTCCTAGTGACGTACCTGAGTCTCAGGTCTAAGTAAGAGTACAGACTATATATTCACCCAAACACAGTCCTGTGACTCATTAAGAGTGAGTCGGGCTCACGCAGAGATCAGAGTCTGCACATACTGCTTTGCTTCTTGGGATGCAGTAAACTCCTTTACAACTCCATTGTAAGTAAAGCGCTGGGTAGAAAAGTCCGTACCTGATCCCTTCGATGCCACGAAGTAGCTGCTTTACCTCATTGAAGGCTGCCTGAGTCTGGACAACCTTAGCAGTGTAATCCGGAAAAATAGATATAGTCCCGGCTCCTATTTTAATCCGCTGGCGCTCCCTGGCCCGATGTAAAATGTCCAAACAGTCACTGTAGTAATGATGTTCGTTTTTAAATTGCTGAACAATCTTGCCCCGGCTTACCTCACTGAGCTTCTTCACCCTTACATACCTTATCGGTCTCTTAGGTCTGCAGATCAGTTGCTCCTGGAGGTACCGAAATCTAGACGGAAGCTCAGAGGGGACAGGGCTTTCTCTGTCGTGGGTCCTAAGCTATGGATGACCTGCCTTTGCAGGTCAGAGAGGCCCTTTCACTGTCCACTTTTAAAGCTCGTCTTAAAACTCATTTATTTTACTTGGCTTTCAACTCCAGCGAGATCTAGTTTCACATTGTATGTTTGTTTGTTTTAAACTGTAAGAGGTTTTTTTTTATTTTTTTTATCTATTTTATGTACAGCGCTTTGCATCAGCTGTGGTTGTTTTTAAAGTGCTTATGAATATGATATGCAGTGTGAAGCTTTGACTGAAAAACAGAAACATACATGGATCCTGGAATAATCCTGGAATAATCCCAGCTTCCATCTTTAAAGGACTGGAAGAAGAAAAAGTTTCCAAGGACTCAATCAGAATCGTTTCACCAAGAAATAGATTGTAGAGACTGAACTATCTGTTCAACAGTGAGAGAGTTTCTCTGATAGGAGGAAAAACTTTAGACTCTTTAGATTCAACTCAACACAGAAACACTGAGGAATCAGAACTGGGCCAGAATCCAAATCCAGGAATCAGAGGTTCAGTGACTGTTATGATGAAGGTGTGGAGGAGGATCAGTGAGCCAGAGGAGACTCTGTAGAAGGACAGATTGGGACAGTTCACATACACTGCTACTCTGTTAGAGACAGAGGAGGAGGAGAGACCAGTTTCTATGTTATTGTGAATGACAGAGTAACCATCATCATCAGAGCAGATCAGACTCCAGGAATGATCATTATATCCAAACACACAGTCTGCACTGTCGCCTTTCCTCCTGATTCTTCTGTAACTCACTGATATATCAACTTTTCTTCTCCACTCAACCTCCCAGTAACAGCGACCAGTCAGACCAGTTCTACACAGCAGCTGAGAATAATCAAATCTGTCTGGATGATCAGGATATGACTGAAGATCCTCCACAAATGTCACCTTCCTGTTGTCTTCAGACAGTTTGAGTTTTCTGTTCACTGTGTTTTTGTTGATGGTGAGTTGACAGGAATCTGATGGAGAAGACAAACACAATCCACCTGCAGTTATTGATCATTTATTAACACTTTGACTCCTGAATGAGTGATGTGACAGTTTGAAGATGGTTGAATGTGAGCTGCTTTGTTGTCATGAATCAGATGAAAAACACACTTACATATTCTTAGTCTCCATGGACCTGGAGTCAAGAATCGTCCTCCAGCAGGCTCCACCCTGAAAGGAGGAGGGGGGTCAGACCATCAGTCTCTTTCAGCAGCAAACATGGACATTACATGTCTCTCAGACACACATTGTCCTCCACTGAGACAGGAACAGTCCAACATCTGGATTGCAAACTGCAGTGGATGTAGGAAGGACAGTTGGTGCTGCTGCAGCACAACTCATTTCTCCAAACACAGGAAAAGCTCCAACAGAGAGGAGAAAGGAAATCCCTCAGTAACAACCTGAAGAAACTCACTGAAGCCTAAAAGGACATCAGGAAAACTAAGGAAATATTTCTGGAAGCTCCACCTGATTTAATAATCAGCATTAAAATACAATCAATCTAAACTCTGATCAACACCTGGATACCTGATCCATTAACACTGAAAGTTGTGAGTTTTGTTTAAAATCTAACGTTATTTATTTTTCTCTCTCAGAACTTTAAACATCCATTTGACCAACATGGAGCCACTTTTCTTCTCATCTTTGCTTCTTTGGTCTGGAGCTCCACCAAATATTGTTTTAAAGTCTTTCTGCCATCAGTGGATCATCATGGAAATCTAACTGAACTTCTTTATTAATTTAGTCAGAGTCCCTATTAAACTATTAAACCATCTCACTCTTTAATTTTTCTTGTGATCCGTTCTTAGTCTGGAGAATAATCCAGAAAACTGGGTGATGATCTCTGCCTCCAGATGAGGCGTCTAAATATTTAATTATCAAATTAAACATTCAGCATCAAACTAAATGTTTCCCAGTAGACTCACTAAAGACATTTCTCCCTCTTCCTCCTCTATCAGACCTTCTCTGCTCCTGCAGCAGGTTCCTCCATACCTGAGAGCTTCCAGTCTCCAGTGTGGATCCTTCAGTCCAGCCGACAGCAGCTTCACTCCTGAGTCTCCTGGATGATTGTAGCTCAGGTCCAACTCTTTCAGATGGGAGGGGTTGGAGGTCAGAGCTGAGGCCAGAGAAGCACAGCCTTCCTCTGAGACCAAACAGCCTGATAAGCTGCAGACACACAATTCATCACATGATGAGAAAATGACAACATTGAGGTAGAAACCAAAGTCTGAACTGATGGATGGATGAATGGCCCAGAGTTACCTGAGAGTTTCCAGGTTGCAGTTTGGACTCTTCAGTCCAGCAGAGAGAAGCTTCACTCCTGAATCCTGCAGGTTGTTGTTACTCAGGTCCAGTTCTCTGAGACTGGAGGACTGGGAGCTGAGAACTGAGGACAGAGCTTCACAGCTTCTCTCTGAGAGGTTACAGCCACTCAGTCTGAGGAGACAGGGAGGAAAATCTGGTATTAAACAATTCTACAAAATTTTAATTTTTTCCAATTAATGTTTGTCTTAGACAAAGAAGAAACTATCTCATTTTACACATGCTTATGTGTTTGGTGTGAACTGATTCATTTATAATTTGGCCTCCAAACTTAACGGGCAGAACTATAGTCAACAAGGTGTTTGGAAATTTAATTATCACATTACACAATAAATAAAATTAATCCACTTTCATTTTTAACATGAAGATGAATTTTGCTGCTTTAATATTCAACATTCTTTCCAGCTGCTGAAGGAAGTCTGTTTCTCCTTTGCTCATCCACCCACAGTGGGACACGTTGAAGAGATAATACACAAATATATAAACTGAAACATGATATAAATCATCATTAGTGGATTCTATTTATCAGAAAACAGTAACAATGTGTGTCCTTACAGAGCTTTGTTGGAGGCTTTAACCACTGGCAGCAGCCTCAGAAGAACCTCCTCTGAAGCAGAGTATTTCTTCAGGTCAAACACATCCAGATCTTTTCCTGATGACACTAAGATGAAATTCAGAGCTGACCACTGAGCAGGAGACAGTTTATCTGTGGAGAGACGTCCTGAACTCAGAGACTGTTGGATCTCCTCCACTAGAGAACGATCATTCAGTTCATTCAGACAGTGGAACAGATTGATGCTTTTCTCTGCAGACACATTCTCACTGATCTTCTCCTTGATGTACTGAACTGTTTCCTGATTGGTCTGTGATGTACTTCCTGTCTTTGTCACCAGACCTTGTAAGAGTCTCTGATTGGTCTGCAGTGAAAGTCCCAGGATGAAGCGGAGGAACAAGTCCAGGTGTCCATTTGGACTCTGTAAGGCCTGGTCAACAGCTCTCTGATGGAGAGACTTTAGTTCAGGTTTATTAAATAGTGACGATTTCTTAGATGTTTGTGTTTCTTCCAACAGGTTGACTCCAGAGTTGATGAAAGTCAGATGAACATGAAGAGCAGCCAGAAACTCCTGAACACTCAGATGGATGAAGCAGAACACCTTGTCCTGGTGCAGACCTCTCTCCTCTTTAAAGATCTGTGTGAACACTCCTGAGTACACTGAGGCTGCTCTGATATCGATGCCACACTCTGTCAGGTCTGATTCATAGAAGATCAGGTTTCCTTTCTGCAGCTGATCAAAAGCCAGTTTTCCCAGAGACTTGATCATCTTCCTGCTCTCTGGACTCCAGTGTGGATCTGTTTCAGCTCCTCCATCATACTTGACCTTCTTCACTTTGGTCTGAACCACCAGGAAGTGGATGTACATCTCAGTCAGGGTTCTGGGCAGCTCTCCTCTCTTTTTGGTCTCCAACACATCCTCCAGAACTGTAGCAGTGATCCAGCAGAACAGTGGGATGTGGCACATGATGTGGAGGCTTCGTGATGTCTTCATGTGGGAGATGATCCTGCTGGCCTGCTTCTCATCTCTGAATCTCTTCCTGAAGTACTCCTCCTTCTGAAGGTCATTGAACCCTCTGACCTCTGTCACCATGCCAACACACTGAGGAGGGATCTGATTGGCTGCTGCAGGTCGTGTGGTTATCCAGAGGAGAGCAGAGGGAAGCAGTTTCCCCCTGATGAGGTTTGTCAGCAGAACATCCACTGAGCTGGACTCTGTAGCATCAGTCAGGATCTCCTTGTTGTGGAAGTCCAGTGGAAGTCGACTCTCATCCAAGCCATCAAAGATGAACAGAACCTGGAAGCGTTCAAAGCTGCAGATTTCTTTGGTTTCACTAAAGAAATGATGAACAAGTTCCACCAAGCTGAACTTTTTCTTTTTCAGCACATTCAGCTCTCTGAACGTGAATGGAAATATGAACTGGATGTTCTGGTGGGCTTTGTCTTCAGCCCAGTCCAGAGTGAACTTCTGTGTTAGGACTGTTTTCCCAATGCCAGCCACTCCCTTTGTCATCACTGTTCTGATTGGTTGATCTCTTCCAGGTGGGACTTTAAAGATGTCTTCTTGTCTGATTGTTGTTTCTGGTCTGTGTGGTTTCCTGGATGCTATTTCAATCTGTCTGACCTCATGTTCATCATTGACCTCTCCAGTCCCTCCCTCTGTGATGTAGAGCTCTGTGTAGATCTGGTTCAGAAGGGTTGGACTTCCTGCTTTAGCAATCCCCTCAAACACAGACTGGAACTTCTTCTTCAGACCAGATTTAAGTTGATGTTGACAAACTGGGTCACGATGTTCTAAATTAACACAAAACATAAAATCAGCAACTAAATAAAATTATCTTCTGAAAATAATTTGAAAAAATGTGATTCCGTCTCTTCAGACATCAGTAAATTTCTGATTTATACATCAGTTCAAAAATTTGCAGAAATCCTCTTACTGCTTTCCAGACGGTCAGCCAGCTCCTCCTGCTTCATCTTCCTCAGGAAGTTCAGTGTGATCTTCATCACTGCCTTTCTGCTGCTCTTCCTTTGCTCCTCATCCTCACCTCCCAACATCTCATCATCATCTCTCTGTCTCACTGAGCATTCTTGGTCCTCTGGAGTCAGAACTTTTTGGATCTTCTTCAGCTCTTTCTTCACATAAGTGACAATGTTGTGCTCCAACAGCTGGAACAGAATAATAAATAAAGAAAACATCAGACTGAAAATTTGAAGTCCAACACCAGATAGATGTTGGACAGACTGACAATCCTCTTGTCTAAAAAAGTACAGTATGGAGATAATTGTGAACCGAACTCATGGAAAGGTTGTTCATTTACAGACCATAAATATGGAGTCCAGCTCTGTTTGATGCTGCTTGGCAGAAGGATCACTGGGAACCTCTGAGCTCTGCTGGTCCACTCTGTGGAGGAACCAGGAACAATTAGGAAGTCAAGAAATATTCATCCATCAGTATTCACAGAGGAGATCACCAAGAGTTCCACATTAAAATTCTTAAAGCATAAAACAAGAAAACCAGTAACACCAGAATCACCCTGTAGACATTTGAAAATGTTGGTGCTGAACTACAACTTCATTTCACGCTGTCAGCAGATCTGATGCTGATGGAGACAGAGTCCCACAGCTTATGGACATTAGAAGTGAAGGCTCTGTCTGGGGATGTAGCGATACAATAATATGATACGATATGATATACAATATTCTGATCGCAATACAATATGTATCACATTTGGCAAGAGATACGATTCAATCCACTTTTTGGATTTTCTGAAAGATTTTACAAGGACAGTGATTTTAGTGACATTTTGTCTTCCACAGACTTGGATTTAATTAACTGAAAACTGATTAAAGCACCAACTACACAATACCTGACTCTGATTTTACAAAGCCTAACAGTCTACAGCTGGATAAAATGAATCAAAGATACAGTGAGAAAATTAGTTTCTATCATTTAGTTTATGTGGATTTGACATAAAACTCAAAGTTTCAACAGTGATCCAGTAGCTGAGTGGGGAGATTATCAGCCTCTGTAGACTCTCAATATGCAAATGACTGACATTTGGAAAAATATGGTTTACTTATGTTATTATAACTCTGATTTTACTTGGCCTATTAAGACAATTTAAAAACTGGGGTGTAGTTTAAAATGTGCACTTTAAGCATAAATTGAAAGTGAGACTGGTTGAGGTGGAGTCTTGCTGCCAAGCCGTCACGAACCAGACATGTAAAAAGACGGTATAAGCCTACGGACCCCTATGGTTTAACATATTGATACTCGCGGATGAAAAATTGTTACCTTCCGAGAGTGGGAAAATAAATCAATAAATATCGTACAATTGATATAATTATAGTGCCCTATTTCTGTCTACACAGGTCTTCAGGACAGTGTGGGACATCCATCAGGTTCTGATGACTAGATCTGAGGTGATGTGGACATAGAGGAGGTCTGAGATATGTGGGTGTGTCCATGTGGATCCTCTACTGGATCCTATAGAGAGGATTTTAAAATGAATCCTGTAGATCCCTTGAAGCCAGTGAGCTCACATTGTATCTGTCCTCACAGAGACAATCTGAAGCTCCATGAAGTGATATCTGGATGTGAGCAGTGAACCAGGTGATCTAAGTAGTTGTAAAGATTTCATGTTCCTTCTGATCCCATTAAGAACCAGCAGAACCTCTGATGGTCCACATCAGCTCAGTTTGGTTGAGTTCCAGCAGATCTCACCAACCACTTCATGAAGCTTTCCTTCCCCGCTGAACTGCTCTCACAATGCACACAGGAACCAAGTCCTGATGGACCAGAATGGCTTTACCAGGTATTTCCCAGTGGAAATGTGATCCACTGTTAGTCTGACATGGAACCAGGAAGCAACAGAACATCATCATCAACATCCAGAGATAAAGATATGAAGGTGTTTTCATGACAACAGAGCAGCTGATTTCTGTAGATAATGGATCAAACCTCTGGAAATATAACTGGAAACATCTGAAACTTTTTGGAAGGAAAGTGGATATTTGTTCTTGGTTTCTAAAGAAATGTAGTTTCTTATTTCCAGAACTTTATACATCAGACTGAGGAGACTCACTAAAATTTGCAACCATTTACCTTGAAATGAATTTAGGAACATATTAGTTTCTGATGCAACAAAGCTGTTCACAAAGAATATAAACTGTGAGCACAAATATTATGCTATGCAAGTTGTAGATTTAAGGATTAATTTTATTGCTGAACAACTTCTCTTGGTCAATCCAAAATGTTAACAACCTCTCAAACTTGAATATCTAAGAAAGTAAACGGGACAACAATATCTATGTGAGCACGATTATTTAGGGTGCACCCTAACGATATATTAGTGTGCAGAATTTTTATAAAACTGAATTAAAACTGAAAATGTTCCCATCTTACTTGTCTATTAACTAAATAATTGTTAATTATCAACTTTTTGTGCAGCAGCAACCACAGCCTCCCAGATACTGTTCATAGATATGAACTGTTTTCCTTCACAGTAAATCTCTTAATGGGGTTTAGATGGTGAGGAAGGGGCCACTTCATTGTTCTTTCATATTTAAGTGTTTTATTGGCTATTCACATAGTGGAGTACTTTGATGCATGCCATGGAACATTGTCCTACAAATTATGATCTTCTTGAAAGATGCAGGCCTTTTCCTCTTCCTTCAGTAGGTTTAGGGGTTATAAAACTTAATGGTTTTTCACATATTCTTTCCACACATTTCAAGCAAGAGCTGGGAGATATAAAATATTACAGGGCAGCATGTCACTAAAACATATGTTAAAAGAATCTGTCTAAAACACAATCTATCAGCACTAGCATGGCTAATATAATAAACGAGGCACTACGCAGCGGTGCACAACCATTTTGTTCTTTTTAGAAATGTATGAGAAGTGCCGCCTCTCATTAGGAAGGTAACAGCGGTTACCGCTGAGCGGTAAAATGTAAATACCTGCAAAACTCCTCGACGGTGTAACTCTAAAGCCGCGGATGTTTTGGATCAAGCAGGACCAACATGTCAGTTTAACCAATGAACAGCGTCGGGCATCGGGCTGCCTTCAGGGACAGTCGGAAATTACAGTTTTCCTGGCAAATCTTTGCCGATCTCATAAGTATTATATTTTAAAATGACCATTTCCAGTGGGGTGGCAGTAGGGGTGGCCAGGGGTCTGTTGGGGGTGGTAAGTGCCACCCCGGCCACCCCTCTGGCTCTGCCACTGCATCTTCAACCTTAAAAGGTCCAACTAGCTAATTTTTAACAACAGATATTGAAACCAGCCTAAGTTTGCCAGTCAGGTGGCAGGACTGGTCTGATATTTTGTAAGAGCAAAGCAAATTATCACTATTTACCTGTTTTGCTTAATAATTCTTAACATGTTGAATATTTTTCTAGAAAAACATGATTATTTAAAAGAAGAGTCCTTAACATAAATGACAAGGTACTGTAGAATAACTTTGTCATGTTGAGCTTAAATGAATTCAGCTTTGATATTAAAGAATAGTAAAATGTTTGAGAAAAAATTAAAACAAAGCTTCTATCTTTGCCCATCATAGAGCGATGAGCAGCTAGTGGCTGGTTGGATGGTCGGCGCTAAAAGCCACGACATCTTTTATTCATCCAGCCGACATTTGAGACAAAACCTGCAGCAACATTTGCTACTTTCTACATGTTCAACCTAAAATATCATGAGGAGGCAGCAAAGACTTTGGAGCGTATTCAACGGTGAAACTATTTCTATGATTTTATTTGAAATCGTTTTACAATAAATAGGAACATTTTTAGGACCTACAAGCAAGTTATAGTTAAAAGTTAACCAGTATGGAGATGGGTTCTCTTAATATTATCCAAAAACTAAGACTGTATAATATTAATACAATTTCTCAGAGATTTCCGATAAAGTTCATGGTGTGGTGAATCTAAATTTACAGTAAAATACTGGCAGCTACAGATGCCAGTAATTCACTCTTTGTTTAGTTTCATCACTGCCAGTATCTTACTGTAAATTTACAGGATTATTTTTATTTATTCATTCATCTTTTGTCTTTAATGGTACCAAAAGGCCTGGATTTGTTGTCATTTTCTGTAACATTTTTCAAACCTTAAGTTTGTAAAACAAACAAAAAGGAAGATTAATCAAACTCCATTTAAGACACTAGAAACTGTAATTTTTACATTTTTTGTAACATTCTTTTTTGCAATCATGACTAATTCTTGACATTGAAGGCCAATATATCTGAGTTTGTAACTAATTCAATGAGGAAAACTGCTTGCATTACTTTTTGTATTTGGTCTGTACATTTTTAAATAAAAAATCTTTCCAACAGAATGTTTTCTCATCACTTCTTTGTGATGTATCTTAATGATTATGCATATTAAAACTGCACCAATTTTAGCACTTTTATTATTACTATTCTATTGTATAACTAAGGCTGTGTAATAGTAAAACTTTTTCTCAGAGATTCTCTTCATTTAGTTTCACCACTGTATTTACTATAACAGTAAATTTAGTTAAAATTTTATTACAGTGTTGAACATGTAATTTAACAGCAAATTACTGGCAGGTAAATTCACTAGAATTTTTTTTTTTTTTTACAGTATTTGTACTGTTTTAACTTAAACGTAGCATATTGTAAATATGGTACAGTTAACATAACTTTACAGTAACATGCTGCCATCTGTAGCTGCCAGTATCTTAAAGTAAATTTACAGGATTATTACTTAGAGTGAACTTGATGTTCTAATGATTCCCATCAGAACCGGTCCAATCCTCCAACATGTTCCTGATCATTGATCCTCCTGAATAATGTCCAGCCTTGTTAAAATTTAAAATTATTAAAATTAAAATTAATAATGGACAAAATAGATACGACAGTTTTATTTTTTAAAGTAGTTTATGCAAATCAGTACAAAATACAATGAAATATTTGTGGCTCAAAGGTCAAGTTAACATCATAATATTTGTGTCCTGATTGAGGTTTTTATTTGTTCTTTATATATATTTTAGAGTTTGTAGCAGAAAAGTTTGTTGATTCTAGTTAAATATTGTTTCCTGTTATTTATCAGCAGTAATTGTTTAGTTATGGTGTCAATAACTGGCCAGTATGGGGCAGTGTTGCTGCCTGAATGATGGTTTCATTGATTAGAGAGAAAAATCAGGTCAGATTTAGAGATTTCTGTTCACTAGATGGACTTTTAGAAGTTCTGGGTGGAGAATGTGGATTTAAATGGACCCGATTCAATCTGAAGGTCTTTCAATAGTTTTTGCTTCACCAATGATCCCACTGGACTTTATTTATTGATACTGATGTTAACATGAAGACTGTGGGATTATATTTTAATATTTTATTACAACATGTTTCATCAGCAGGTATTGAAGCTCAGATAAATTAACTGAGTTTGATCTTCTATAATAACATCATGGTTCTGCTGCTGGTGAAATATTTTGTGCACATGAACGTTTCTGTCCTGGTCATGTTGACAGAACCAGGCTTGGTCTGCAGCTGCAGCAGCAAAATCTCACAAATAACAACTTCTTATTAGGAAGCAGGACTGATAACCAAAACTGTTCAAAGTAACTCAGATCATTAGTTATGTGAGCAGCGTTAATATTCCAGAAGGTTTTAGTGCAGCTTAAAGTGGCTTTATTCTATATAACTGCAGGTATTAAGAATGGAAACCAGATCTGAATGAATCTTTGTGTGAATTTTTCTGTCAGCTTTTCAAAGATTTATTTACATTTTATTAAAGTTTGGTTGATTTTAACTTGCTGATCTCTAACATCACTAACCTGCTGGAAGATGTGTCGACGTCTTTAACTAGACATGTTACCATAAGCATTGATGTAAGACATGGAAATAAAATAACCTGATATTCAGTCTAATGTTCTTAAGACAACAGAACCCAACAGAACCTGGTATCATCACATGATCACAATAACAGATATAAACTGAACAATTAGAAACATCTCACCTCTCTGATGGTGGAGATCCAGGAGATTAAAATCATGGGGTTTATGCAGTGACCTGTTACCCTTACAGGACAACCAGCTGGGTTTTGGTTTTAGTTCTGGTTCTGGTTTGAGTCTCTGATGGATCCTGACAGAAACATGATGATTAAAAACTTAATCAGCAAAGAGGAGCAGCAGCAGCTTCATCACCACGTCTGTTCTGGCCTGATATAGTGAATATGAAATAATTCTGTTTCAAATCATTTAAGGTCTAATTAATATTTTATTATGCATCTCCATGGTAACCTCTCCTTCATCTTAAAAAATAAGATCCATTTTTATTGTTTAATAATAAATACAGACTCCTAAGTCATGTTGCCATAAACAGGATTTTATATGTAAACTATTTACTGGTTTTCATGTGTTACTGCTACCATGTTTATTTTTATTTATTCATTCATCTTTTGTCTGTAGTAATACCAAGTGACCTGGATATGTCGTCATTTTCCATAACATTATTTTTGAAACCTTAAGATTGTAAAAAAATGAAAAAATTAATAAACTCCATTTAAAACACTAGAAACTGTAATTTTACAATTTTTGTAACAATGTTTTCACAATCATTACTAATTCTTTACACTGAAGGCTCATGTATGTGAGTTTGTACACAATTCCCTGAGACCTGGAAAGGTGTTCACAATATTTTTCATATAAATGTTTGTACATTACGGTGCATTTAAATAAAAAATCTTTCCTACAGAATGTTATTTCTTCCCTATTATACAATGTAACTTAATGATTTTGCATTTTAAAACTGCACAAATTTTAGCACTTTAATTGTAACTATTCTATTTTAAAACTAAAACTTTAATATTAAGACTTTTTCCCAGAGATTATTGATAAAGTGCATCAAGTGATGAAACTAAACCGACAGCAAATTCCTGGCATTTAATTCACCAGAATTTTTGACTGAATGATGGTTTCATTGATTAGAGAGAAAAATCAGGTCAGATTTAGAGATTTCTGTTCACTAGATGGACTTTTAGAAGTTCTGGGTGGAGAATGTGGATTTAAATGGACCCGATTCAATCTGAAGGTCTCAATAGTTTTTGCTTCACCAATGATCCCACTGGACTTTATTTATTGATACTGATGTTAACATGAAGACTGTGGGATTATATTTTATTATTTTATTACAATATGTTTCATCAGCAGGTATTGAAGCTCAGATGAATTAACTGAGTTGATCTTCTATAATAACATCATGGTTCTGCTGCTGGTGAAATATTTTGTGCACATGAACGTTTCTGTCCTGGTCATGTTGACAGAACCAGGCTTGGTCTGCAGCTGCAGCAGCAAAATCTCACAAATAACAACTTCTTATTAGGAAGCAGGACTGATAACCAAAACTGTTCAAAGTAACTCAGATCATTAGTTATGTGAGCAGCGTTAATATTCCAGAAGGTTTTAGTGCAGCTTAAAGTGGCTTTATTCTATATAACTGCAGGTATTAAGAATGGAAACCAGATCTGAATGAATCTTTGTGTGAATTTTTCTGTCAGCTTTTCAAAGGTTTATTTACATTTTATTAAAGTTTGGTTGATTTTAACTTGCTGATCTCTAACATCACTAACCTGGTGGAAGATGTGTCGACGTCTTTAACTAGACATGTTACCATAAGCATTGATGTAAGACATGGAAATAAAATAACCTGATATTCAGTCTAATGTTCCCATGACAACAGAACCCAACAGAACCTGGTATCATCACATGATCACAATAACAGAGATAAACTGAAGTTACAGCAGGTAGAATCATCTCACCTCTCTGATGGTGGAGATCCAGGAGATTTAAAGAAAATGATCACATCCTTTGACATGTCGCTCTTAAAGGAGACACAGCTGGGTTCTGGTTGTGGTTCTGGTTCTGGTTTGAGTCTCTGATGGATCCTGACAGAAACATGATGATTAAAACTTAATCATCAAAGAGAAGCAGCAGCAGCTTCATCACCACGTCTGTTCTGGCCTGATATAGTGAACGCTGTGTGAAAAGGGCTGTGGACAGTTAGAGATGGTGACCTCACCTCTGACCTTTGCTCTGGCTCTCATCTTCCCCACACAGAGTGGTTTTAGAGGGAGGGACTCCCTCCTCTCTGTCCTCACACTGATCCATGCTGCTGAATCCACATCAGCTCACACACTTTCTAGATTCACCTGCAGAGGAAACACACATCATTCATCTGCACATCAACTCTGATCATCCTTTACATCATTAGTGCTGGAAAAAGATCAGCTGCTCCTCCTCTGATTGGCTCTTCTTCTCTGCTTCATATCAGTGTCAGGTGAATGCAGTCAGACAGCAGAGAGGCAGAGGAAGCTGCCATCAGCTGCTGCACTTCTACTATCAGTCCACTAGATGGAGACATGGAGCAACATTTACATTCACTGATTCAACCTGAACAACAGGAAGTGTTTTAGTTAGTTAATTATTAATCTCTACAAGTGGATTATGTGCTCCATCAAATATTAACTATTTAATAATCTGACTGAATTCAAGGCATTTTAGTAATAATATTTTACTTTGAAGCTGTTATATTTAACTTTAATGGTGAAAACCAGAGTTTGACTCCAGGAAATAAAAACATAAAACAGTTTGTTCAGAGAAGATCATTCAGCTCTTCATCAATTTGTTGGATTCCAGTTTATCATTAATCTAATAATCCCTTAGATTAACCTTCAAACAGCAGAGATTAAACTTTGAGTTCTAGTCAGTAGTTTTCTGTTCTCCAAACATCAGAGAGAAAAATAAGAAACAAACATTAAAGTTCAAGTAGAAACAAAGAAAACTTACAGTTTGTTCAAATGATCCAAACAGCTGAAGAAGAAAATCTGAATAACAAACTGAGACCAAACAGAACCGCAGTTGAACCAGACTGGTACCACAACTGAACAACTGAGTTTAAACTGAAAGTTTTAAGAAGATAAAATGAACCCAAACTGGTTTAACTGGTCAGACTGACTGGGAGTCAGAGGAAAGTTTACCTTCTGACGACTGAAGACATGAATTCTTCTCATAACTCACAGTTTAAACACAAACACTCTGTTGCTGTTATTTTAGTGATCCAGTTTCTGTTCAGCTCTAATGGAACCAGAACCTGTTTTAACTTGGAACCAACTGGAATCTTCAATGATGGGAAATTTATCTTCCTCTTGAGGTGAAACTACAACCTGCATGATGTCTGATTATTAAACCCAGATTAAGTTTTTAAATGATCCAAACATGTCAGTGATTATATAAAATGATCAGAACCAGAACCAGTACTAAGGTTTCATTCATCAGGATGTGAATTAAAGATCATTTGTTCCTCTGCAGATCTTAAAATGAGCTCAATGCATCAACATCACAGATTACACTGAGTTATTATTAATTGACCTGAATCAGAACCAAAGTGCTGAAGCAGTGAGTGAAAAACTAAGTCCAACATTTCTGCTTCCACAGCAGGTCAAAGGTCAACAGAGAAACTGCTGGTCAGATTTAAATCTGTACGTTAATTACTTTCATCCCTTTGACACTAAATACAAATTAGTTTATGATTTAATGCAATTATGGCATCAAAAATACATAAAAAACAACAATCTATTAAAAATATAAACAAATAATCTGAAAACTGAAACAAAGGAACAAACTCAACTGTATCCTTAATATCACAACACGACTGCTGCTGAAACCACACAGAAAAGTACCGTCGCCTAGCAACCTCTCAGCCAATAGAATCCAAGTGTTACATTGGATTTTATAACATTGGATTATAGAGATTATAGACGGGTTAGAAGGAAACTCATTGTGTGTCTGATGAATCTGTCTAGATAGAGATTCTGTCTATTCTAACAGACCTGCTCAGATCCAAACATCCCATTTTCCAGGAGTCACTGGTTTCATCTGTCGTTGTTCCAGCTGCTGAGGTCAGAATCCAGCTGTAAAACCTGGAGGTTGAATGTTCAGGTTCTCTCCTCCAAACATCCCCCCTCCCTCCAGCTGCTCTTTTCTCTGGACTCATTTCTCCTCTAATGATGTTTCATTCATAACATCCATGAAAACACAAGATTAAAAAACATAATAAAAGATTAGCACAAAGAAAACCAATCAAGTGTTGGTAGCAGCATCATCATCATCATCATCATGAAACATTTTCATCAGAACTTCTCTCCTTCCTCATGAAGATTTGATCAACCTGCCTCTGATTTTACAGCAAACCTTCTGCTGCTCTGAAAGAACAAACTACAAACCAGGTGAGTTTCACATAATCAGTTATTCAACATTTATAACACCTGGACTTTGAACTCTTGTGGTTTATGTTGGGTAAAAGTCCAGTTCTGTTGTGTCTCTGTTCAGGTTTGGCATTAGTCTGGTTCTCCTGTGGTTCTGTTGGGTCTCAGTTTTTCAGATTTTCTTCTTCAACTTTTTGGATCATTTGAATAAACTATAATTTCTTCATTTTCTACTTGAAGTTTGTCTACAGAAACTTTCTGATTTCTTTCTGTTCTCCGATGTTTAGAGAAAATGTTCACTTCTAAATTCAGCTCACAGATTTTTCTCCCTGCTGTTGGAAAGTTAATCTACAGGGATTATTAAATATTGATAAAGTGGAAGAAAAACATGATGAACAGATAATGTTCCTTTACTTTCTTCTCTAAACAAACTGCTTCATGATTTTATTTCCATAAATCAAACGCCAGTCTCAACCAGTAACGCCAAACTCTACATTTTCTTGCTGCTTCGTTTCAAAATAAAATATTCTTAAAATGTCTTTGATTCACTCAGATTATTAAATAGTTAACATTTGATGGAGCAGATAATCTACATGTAGAGTTTAATCATTAACTAACTAAAATCTTTCCTGTTGTTCAGGTTGAATCAGTGAATGTAAATGTTGCTCCATGTCTCCATCTAGTGGACTGATAGTAGAAGTGCAGCAGCTGATGCCTCTGCTGTCTGATCAATCCAGGCTCCAGAAATGTTCAGCAGGGGGCATTGGGGACAGACTGAACTAGCTTTTACTTTAATATAAAAACATAAATAGTACAAGTATAAATATTTATGGAACATTTCAAATAAAACAACCAAGTTTAAAAACACAAAATAAGGATATAAACAGAGACATGTTTAATGTTGAATAATTATATTGAAATTTGCATAAACAGCTCAGATGTTACAGAAATCTAAGGTTTCTAATTTCTTGAATCTATTTCTTTGAATGCAACATGAATCTACTCAAATAAGAGAAGAAATAATATTCCTAAAAAGAATAAAAACATTACAGTAAAACTATTCTTATCAGTATCTTTTTTCCCAGAAACGTTACTCACGTTCATGTAACCAATACAACCCACTTTTGAACATAGATAACAGGAACTGACACATCAATTTTTGTTGTCTCCTGTCTGCCCAATCAATCTATTGGCAAGAGATTTAATGATAAAAATGTCTCTGTGTCTAAAATGCACACCAGAAGGCATCCTAGTGGTTAATCAATCAGAAACAACCACATTCTCTAAATTGCCAAATCTTCTCTATATTTTTTGATTGCTGATCAACAAACTGAAACCATTCTGGAGTTTGGCACATAACCGTGTTCCCCCAATTGCTGATGTAATGCCTCAACAGCGCTTGCATTGCACATCACTGGCAACCACAGTTCCAGCTGATGGGCGTGGCGATGAGTTCATCTGGTCTCCACCTGCATCACTGCATGTGACACACATGTACTGGCAGCACAACACAGAGTTCTTACTGGTTTGTCTGAACCTGTCAAGAAAATCCGAGATCATCCCAATTCCCCATGCTGGAGATTTTAGTTAAATAAAGTTATCTTTAAAATTAGTCACACAAGTGACATGTAGACCCAGACTGCAATAAAATAAACCTGGTTGTGTGTGTTGTTTTTGTCTCCTGCAAACTTTGCTTTAATTATACTTATATTTTCTTTCTTTCATAAGAAATCAGTCAGAGAGAGATGAGACAGGAAGAGCAGGTTTCCTGGAAAAAGAGGAAGTAAGTTTCCAGCTTGCAGCTGTATAAAAATAGCTGAGACTATTCCTTGTTTAAAAGCATAAAAGATTTAAAGGATGAAATCTAAACACTTTAGGGTTTCCACGTTTGTCACATGCACTTGAATGACTTGGGAATATTTGATCACTTACACCTTTTTAATACAGTTTTATACAATAAAAGACACAAAAAATATTAAATCACTTGTTAGAATATATTTACAAAGTTTTTCCAACTATTTTTAAACTTTCTAACATCTTTCCTGCAGTTACAGGGTGAGTCTTTCTTCATGACTCTTTAAGGAATGAGAAGCTCAATGTTTTTATCCAACCTTGTTATTAATCAGTGAAATAAGTTCGAGGAGACGTTTGGTTCCTGTTGCACCTCAGTGTTAATCTGTTTAATCTGAGAGATTAGCTCCAGTCTAACACTGCAGTGAGGATTAAAATCAGCCAGACAAGGTGAGGGACGGAGGAGAGGTCACCATCAGGAAGTTTGAACCTCTGCAACAAACTGCATTTTAATCACAACCAGCTGCTGATTTTACTGTGTTTTGGGATTTCCAGTTAAATCCTTTATTTTTTCCATTGGGTTTCAGGTGTGAACTTTGGCACTGTGGCGGGTTATACCATGTGTTTTTTTCAGGTAAAAACAGGTTTACTTTCTGTTATCAGATGTAAAATATAGCAGAGAAGCAGCAATCAGACCTTTTCTGTCCAACACTGATCTCCAGATTTCATTCTGCTCTGATCTTACAGTTCCTGGGATTTTTTCTCCAAATAGAAAAATGTTCTGCAGGTTCTGAGTTTCAGGTAGAAGTTCTGAATGAAAAAGAAAATATTAAGATTTTCCCAATTTATGCTTCAAACCATTGACCTCTAACCTTCATGAGATGGTAATGTGTTACCTCTACAATTTGGAGGGAAGTTATGTCTTATTCTAGTTAACATTTTAAACTGAATAAACATAACCACATAATAATAAACATTTCCACATATCACTTCCAATGTCCACCGAACTCTCAATTGCCAGGTCAATTGTTTGGGATTCCCCTCCGTTCTTACGTCACTGTGCTTTCTGATTTTAGATCGGGCATATTCAACATACCATACACTGTAGGATATAGTAAGATTGTCGTAAAGGCAAAAGAAAAAAGACTTTAGCGGGAACATGCAGAAGTATTATTTGATGGCTCACTCCTTTCCCCTGGGCCGCAGCAAAATTGCCAAATCTTGATCGGTTCATGGTATAAAAAAAAACGGGGACCACTTATTTAGACTCAAATCAGCACAGAAACACTGAGGAACCATAAGAACAGAATCCAAATCCAGGAATCAGAGGTTCAGTGAATGTGGTGTTGAAGGTGTGGAGGAGGATCAGTGAGTCAGAGGAGACTCTGTAGAAGGACAGAATGCCAGCAGGACAGTCCACATACACTGCTACTCTGTTAGAGTCAGAGGAGGAGGAGAGATGAGTTTGTACGTCATTTTGAATGACAGAATAACCATCATCATCAGAGCAGATCAAACTCCAGGAATGATCATTCCATCCAAACACACAGTCTCCACTGTTTCCTTTCCTCTTGATTCTTCTGTAACTCACTGATATATCAACTCTTCCTCTCCACTTGACCTCCCAGTAACAGCGACCAGTCAGACCAGTTCTACACAGCAGTTGGTGCCAGTAATCAAATCTGTCTGGATGATCAGGATATGACTGAAGCTGCATCATCCATGTCACCTTCCTGTTGTCTGTAGACAGTTTGAGGTTTCTGCCCACTGTGTTTTTGTCGATGGTGAGTTGACAGGAATCTGATGGAGAACAAACACAATCCAGCTGCAGTTATTGATCATTTATTGACACTTTGACTCCTGAATGAGTGATGTGACAGTTTGAAGATGGTTGAATGTGAGCTGCTTTGTTGTCATGAATCAGATGAAAAACACACTTACATTTCCTCAGACCTGGAGTCAAGAATCGGCCTCCAGCAGGCTCCACCCTGAAAGGAGGAGGGGGGTCAGACCATCAGTCTCTTTCAGCAGCAAACATGGACATTACATGTCTCTCAGACACACATTGTCCTCCACTGAGACAGGAACAGTCCAACATCTGGATTGCAAACTGCAATGTCATCTTTGGAATTTTTCTCTGATTTTGATTTTTGAACAAGGTTAGTAAACTAATGCTCAGGTTTTATATCAAATATTGACTCAGTGCAATCTATCCCCACAAAAGCAGACAGGATGTATGCATGGAAAGCTTACATATGCATTTATTAAATTCACAAATTATATTTGAAGTATTGAAACATAGATAATGAGGCACTATCTTTAAGCAGTTAAACATATTTATTTATGTCGGCATCTGCAAATATAATAACTTATAATATCTCAAAAACAAAAGCTACACAAACGAAAAGTTTAATGGCACAAACCTGCACAAACGGAGCACTAACTAGTCAGACTATTTGCTGGATTTTTTGACATGGTTGGGGTGTCAGCTTCACGGAGGTCTCAGTTTCTCTTCCTCCATGTTTTTCAGACTCAGGGTCCATTGAGAGAAAATACTGGAGCAATAATTAGAACCCACAGCATAAAGCCAAACGTGGCAAAATTAAGTGAATCAAAATGTCCCCAAAGCACTGTCAGACTGACAGGGGCCACCGGGGGATTCCAGGTAGATTCCAGAGACGCGCATCACAGCGGCTCTTCATGCAGGGCCGGCCCGCGGAAATATAGGGCCTTAGACAGATCTAAGGTCCCCCCCCATTTTAGTAAAATAGCAGCAAATTTGCTTGTTTCATAACTTCATAACCTTTGATCTTCTCTCTGGTCTGTTTAACAGCTACAGTCTCAGATCAACTCAGCCCTCAGGGACTATCAGCAGAAGAAACAGAAGCTTTATACCTGTTGGGGAAAATATGCTACATTTGCTTTGCATTGTCCCCGCATGATGGCAATGATATAGTCGGATCCAATTAGATTCTTGATTAATATGGGTTTTTTGTACGGTGTTTTAAGATCTTGTTCAATGTGCCCTTTTTTTAACTTTGAGGCCCTGCCCCTCCAAAGGTCTTTGCACGGCCTTGGATGAATTGTTTCAGCAGCTTTTATCCAGCAGCTCAGTAAAGATCTTTCCTCTTTCCAACCTGATTTAGTCCATGAAGCAGAACATCTCTGCTGCTGCAGCAACAGGAGGAAACTTCTCCAGCTCTCAACTTCTACACTCTGACTGCTTGGAAACAGATCAGGGAGGAACAACCTTTTCTCCAGGCTGTTCAGGAGGGAAGAACATAGTTACTTTATGTACTCTATGTTCTTGAATCATACAAAGAACATAAAGTACAAAAAAAAAAACTGTTCCCATTCAGTTTACTCTGGTAACGAAGTTACATTTTCTGATCACTTTAAACAAGAGAGTCCATTTACAGCACATTTAAGATGCAGATGTTGAGAGTAGAGCACAAAGTCAGCCAGTAGCACCACCTACTGGCTGTTCACCAGAGGTGGAGAAAGAACTCAAACAATGAACTGAAGTAAAAGTACAAATAAACAGACAAAAATATTCTTTAGTAAAAGAACCACATTAACATTTTTACTGGAGTAAAAGTAAGAAGAATTGGCTTTTAAAAGTACTTAAAATATTAAAAGTAAAAGTACTTGCTGTATTACCTAATGGCTAATACAATATCATTAAGTGTTTGATCATATTTAATTTTAATTCATCAGTAATGAGCCATTTAATGAACAAATTGCAGATAAATCATGTTTTATTGTGTTTTCTCTCTGTAACAGTTTAGATTAAATTTGTGATTCTATGCATCAGAATTTCAGGATGACCTGTGTCTCGCTAGCATCCTTAACTTCAGTCATTTTCAATAAATTACATTATTTATGAAAAGTATTTCAGTAACTCGGCTCACAAGTTAAACACATCATACAGATTAATTCCCCACAACTTTTTTAAAGCTTTTAATTGTTAATGATGATGATTTGTTGCTTACAGCTCATGAAAATATTTCTGATCAGATTAGATCAATAAAAACTATTAATGCAGAAATGTGGGTCTAATGAAAAATATGTTTAATATCTGCTGAAGTTGTTTTTAAAACCTGACAAACGAGTCTCATGGGAACCATTTCTAATTTATTGAATATGACTGTAAATATGAGATTATTGACATTAATCCAGTAACAGGATGTGGAGAAGTTTAACGTTACTGGGACATTCATGGCAGGAGACGCTGCGCTATAAATTAAAATTGTCCATATATGACTAAAGACATTTCTCCCTCTTCCTCCTCTATCAGACCTTCTCTGCTCCTGCAGCAGGTTCCTCCATACCTGAGAGCTTCCAGTCTCCAGTGTGGATCCTTCAGTCCAGCCGACAGCAGCTTCACTCCTGAGTCTCCTGGATGATTGTAGCTCAGGTCCAACTCTTTCAGATGGGAGGTGTTGAGGTCAGCTGAGGCCAGAAGCACAACCTTCCTCTGAGACCAAACAGCCTGATAAGCTGCAGACACACAATTCATCACATGATGAGAAAATGAGAACATTGAGGTAGAAACCAAGGTCTGAACGGACGGACAGACGGACGGACGGACGGATGGCCCAGAGTTACCTGAGAGTTTTCAGGTTGCAGTTTGGACTCTTCAGTCCAGCAGAGAGAAGCTTCACTCCTGAATCCTGCAGGTTGTTGTTACTCAGGTCCAGTTCTCTGAGACTGGAGGACTGGGAGCTGAGAACTGAGGACAGAGCTTCACAGCTTCTCTCTGAGAGGTTACAGACACTCAGTCTGAGGAGACAGGGAGGAAAATATGTTACTAAATAATTCTACAAAATTTTAATTTTTTCCAATTAATGTTTGTCTTAGACAAAGAAGAAACTATCTCATTTTACACATGCTTATGTGTTTGGTGTGAACTGATTCATTTATAATTTGGCCTCCAAACTTAAAGGGCAGAACTATAGTCAACAAGGAGCTTGAAAATTCAATTATCCAATTACACAATAAATAGAATTAATCCACTTTCATTTTTAACATGAAGATTAATTTTGCTGCTTTAATATTCAACATTCTTTCCAGCTGCTGTAGGAAGTCTGTTTCTCCTTTCACGTCCACCCACAGTGGGACACTTTGAAGAGGCAATGCACCAATATATTAACTGAAACATGATATAAATCATCATTTGTGGATTTCTATTTATCAGAAAACAGTAACAATGTGTGTCCTTACAGAGTTTTGTTGGAGGCCTTAACCACTGGCAGCAGCCTCAGAAGAACCTCCTCTGAAGCAGAGTATTTCTTCAGGTCAAACACATCCAGATCTTTTCCTGATGACACTAAGATGAAACCCAGAGCTGACCATGAGCAGGAGACAGTTTATCTGTGGAGAGATTTCCTGAACTCAGAGACTGTTGGATCTCCTCCACTAGAGAACGATCATTCAGTTCATTCAGACAGTGGAACAGATTGATGCTTTTCTCTGCACACATTCTCACTGATCTTCTCCTTGATGTATTGAACTGTTTCCTGATTGGTCTGTGAGCTACTTCCTGTCTTTGTCAGCAGACCTTGTAGGAGTCTCTGATTGGTCTGCAGTGAAAGTCCCAGGAGGAAACGGAGGAACAAGTCCAGGTGTCCATTTGGACTCTGTAAGGCCTGGTCAACAGCACTCTGATGGAGAGACTTTAGTTTAGGTTTATTAAATAATGAAGATTTCTTAGATGTGTGTGTTTTCCATCAGGTTGACTCCAGAGTTGATGAAGGTCAGATGAACATGAAGAGCAGCCAGAAACTCCTGAACACTCAGATGGACGAAGCAGAACACCTTGTCCTGGTAACCTCTCTCCTCTTTAAAGATCTGTGTGAACACTCCTGAGTACACTGAGGCTGCTCTGATATCGATGCCACACTCTGTCAGGTCTGATTCATAGAAGATCAGGTTTCCTTTCTGCAGCTGATCAAAAGCCAGTTTTCCCAGAGACTTGATCATCTTCCTGCTCTCTGGACTCCAGTGTGGATCTGTTTCAGCTCCTCCATCATACTTGACCTTCTTCACTTTGGTCTGAACCACCAGGAAGTGGATGTACATCTCAGTCAGGGTTCTGGGCAGCTCTCCTCCCTCTCTGGTCTCCAACACATCCTCCAGAACTGTAGCAGTGATCCAGCAGAAGACTGGGATGTGGCACATGATGTGGAGGCTTTGTGATGTCTTCATGTGGGAGATGATCCTGCTGGCCTGTTTCTCATCTCTGAATCTCTTCCTGAAGTACTCCTCCTTCTGTGGGTCATTGAACCCTCTGACCTCTGTCACCATGCCAACACTGAGGAGGATCTGATTGGCTGCTGCAGGTCGTGTGGTTATCCAGAGAGAGCAGAGGGAAGCAGTTTCCCCCTGATGAGGTTTGTCAGCAGAACATCCACTGAGGTGGACTCTGTAGCATCAGTCAGGATCTCCTTGTTGTGGAAGTCCAGTGGAAGTCGACTCTCATCCAAGCCATCAAAGATGAACAGAACCTGGAAGTGTTCAAAGCTGCAGATTTCTTTGGTTTCACTAAAGAAATGATGAACAAGTTCCACCAAGCTGAACTTTTTCTCTTTCAGCACATTCAGCTCTCTGAAGGTGAATGGAAATATAAACTGGATGTTCTGGTGGGCTTTGTCTTCAGCCCAGTCCAGAGTGAACTTCTGTGTTAGGACTGTTTTCCCAATGCCAGCCACTCCCTTTGTCATCACTGTTCTGATTGGTTGATCTCTTCCAGGTGGGACTTTAAAGATGTCTTCTTGTCTGATTGTTGTTTCTGGTCTGTGTGGTTTCCTGGATGCTGTTTCAATCTGTCTGACCTCATGTTCATCATTGACCTCTCCAGTCCTCCCTCTGTGATGTAGAGCTCTGTGTAGATCTGGTTCAGAAGGGTTGGACTTCCTGCTTTAGCAATCCCCTCAAACACAGACTGAAACTTCTTCTTCAGACCAGATTTAAGTTGATGTTGACAAACTGAAGCAAGATGTTCTAAGTTAACACAAAATGTAAAATCAGCAACTAAATAAAATCGTCTTTTGAACATTATTTGAATAAATTTGATTGTAGTAAAAGTCTGATTTATCAATCAGTTCAAATATCTGTAGAAATCCTCTTACTGGTCTGCAGATGGTCAGCCAGCTTCTCCTGCTTCATCATCCTCAGGAAGTTCAGTGATCTTCATCACTGCGTCTCTGCTGCTCATCCTCTGTTCTTCATCCTCACCTCCCAACACATCATCATCTTCTCTCAGACTTTGTGAGCATCCTGGAACATCTGGTGTCAGAACTTTCTGGATTTTCTTCAGCTCGTTCTTCACAAAAGTGACAATGTTGTCTTCCAGCATCTGGAACAGAATAATAAATAAAGGAAACCTCTTGCTGAAATAAATCACAGAGCCCAACAGCAGATGAATATTCTCTGGTCTACAAAGCACAGCATGGAGATAACTGTGAACAGCACTCATGGAAAAGTAGTTGTTGTTCATATACAGACCATAAATATGGAGTCCAGTTGTGTTTGATGCTGCTGGACAGATGGACCACTGGGAACCTCTGAGCTCTGCTGGTCCACTCTGTGGAGGAACCAGGAACAATTAGGAGGTCAGGAAATATTCATCCAGCAGTTTTCACAGAGGAAATCACCAAGAGTTTCACATTAAAATCCCGAAAGCATTAAAACAAAACATCATATGATCACAATACAAAGAAGTTAGAAAGAGAAAGAGGAAGATAAACTACAAAGATGAAGACCAACTTTTTAGAAATTTAAAAAGGTTGGTGCTGAACTTTGACTTCAAACGGGACTGTTTGAACTGTCTGCTGATCTAATGCTGGTGGAGACAGTTTCCCAGAGCTTGAGGACAGTGGAAGTGAAGGCTCTGTCCACACAGGTCTTCAGAACAGTGTGGGACATCCATCAGATTCTGATGTATAGATCTGAGATGTGGACATGAAGGAGGTCTGATATATGTGGAAGTGTTTCCATGTGGATCCTCTCCTTGATGTTATTGTGAGGATTTTAAAATGGATCCTGTAGATCCCTGGAATCCAGTGAGCTCACATTATATCTGTCCACACAGAGACAATCAGAAGGTAAAGGTCCATAAAGTGATATCTGGATGTGAGCAGTGAACCAGGTGATTTAAGCAGTTGTAAAGATTTAATGTTCCTGCTGATCCATTAAGAACCAGCAGAACCTCTGATGGTCCACATCAGCTCAGTTTGGTTGAGTTCCAGCAGATCTCACCAACCACATCATGAAGCTTTCCTTCCCTGATGAACTGCTCTCACAATGCAAGGAACCAAGTCCTGATGGACCAGAATGGCTTTACCAGGTATTTCCCAGTGGAAATGTGATCCACTGTTTAGTCTGACATGGAGCCAGGAAGCAACAGAACATCATCATCAACATCCAGAGATAAAGATATGAAGATGTTTTCATGAGAACAGAGCAGCTGATTTCTGTAGATAATAGATCAAACCTCTGGAAATATAACTGGAAACATCTGAGTTCTTACTGGTTCAGTTTCCAGAGTTACAGCAATTAGATACAGCTCACCTCTCTGATGGTGGAGATCCAGGAGATTTAAAGTTAATGAAATCTTCCTTTGACCAGTCACTCTTAAAGGACACACAGCTTGGTTCTGGTTCTGGTTCTGGTTTGAGTCTCTGATGGATCCTGACAGAAACATGATGATTAAAACTGAATCAGCAAAGAGGAGCAGCAGCAGCTTCATCACCACGTCTGTTCTGGCCTGATATAGTGAACGCTGTGTGAAAAGGGCTGTGGACAGTTAGAGATGGTGACCTCACCTCTGACCTTTGCTCTGGCTCTCATCTTCCCCACACAGAGTGGTTTTAGAGGGAGGGACTCCCTCCTCTCTGTCCTCACACTGATCCATGCTGCTGAATCCACATCAGCTCACACACACTTTCTAGCTTCACCTGCAGAGGAAACACACATCATTCATCTGCACATCAACTCTGATCATCCTTTACATCATTAGTGCTGGAAAAAGATCAGCTGCTCCTCCTCTGATTGGCTCTTCTTCTCTGCTTCATGTCACTATAAAAGTGTGGCTTTTATTGTTTTATTTGAAAAATAATTATAATTTAAATAAGCCAGCTAGACTGAAATTGTTTTTGGTGCAGTAAGTATTTCATTTTCAGGGCAGAATATTTTCTGAAAGATCAGCTTACAGTTGATGCATTGAGTAATGTATAAAGCTGGTAGTGTGCACAAATCACACCTCTGCTGCCTCATGCGCTGTTGTGTTGCATCTCTGAAGTTTACCTCGGGGTGGTTTGCGTATCACACCTTTCACTCAAACTGGACACAGTTTGACTTGTGTGGACATTTATATTAGTCTCCTCTGAGGATTCATGCTTCTTTCTAGAAT